GTATAAGAAATGCTAGAAAGTATGGTTTCTATATGTAGGACTTCACTAAAGGTCCCCAAAACTTGGTGAGAAGTCAAAGAAATGTGACTATCAGAAACTGTCATACAGAAATCACACCACACCCATGTCACTGAATCCTTATAACATTCCTAAGAGCTAGGTATATAGATTTACATTTTACAGTTATGTTTTCAAATGTGAAAAATGTTAGCCTCTATCTAAAATTGAGTTGCTTCACAAACCTCTTTTCCTGGCACCCCTAACCACCATTTCCACTGGTTAATTTGAAGTTACTTGGTCATTTCTGAATTAAAATTGAGTCAATTTAGGCCTTAAACTAAGATTCTGTCCCTATCTGTTCTTCTCTTTCCTTCTACTCTTTTTCCTCCTACTATTCCTCAAGTTCCTGGGGAGACACACATCCTCAGTTATGGTCAGTAGGTATAGGTTTGCATACTCTTCTCTGTTCTCAGTGGCCCCTGCTGAGTTATTGGGTGGCTCTGGGCCTTTCATTGCCATGTATCAGCATCCCCCTGGGTCTGAGTCCTCTTGCCTGGTGTCTGAACTTCATACACGGGATCCACTGTTACGATACTTGCTGTGGTTTCCAACAGTGAGAACTATGTACTCCTTACACTTTTTTTTTTTTTTTTTTTTGGCAGTTTTTGGCCAGGCCTGGGTTTGAACCCGCCACCTCTGACATATGGGGCCAGTGCCTTACTCCTTTGAGCTACAGGCACCGCCCTACTCCTTACCCTTTTTCTTTACCCCTGGTCTCCTTTGTGTCTGCCAGCTCAGGCTTAGCCACTGTTGCCTGCTCCCCACCCATCCCACGGAGACTTCAGTAACTTTTCAGATTCTTTACTACAATACACTGGGATGTTTAGGATCTGAACATGTCTTCAGAGAAATCCTACAGACCTTTCTCAGACATTGTCTTTGGTACCGTTCACATGGATAAATTAATCACAGCCCCTCCAAGCTCTTTCCTAAACATCTTTTATATTCTCTTCCATTCTTGTGTACTCTGTTTTTTGGGGACAAGCTTTATATAAAAGAATATGGTTACATCCTCTTACATTCTTCTTTACACTATGGTTTTTGTCATATAAACTTTATATAATGAAGGTCTTAAAATAATAAGGCAGATCTGTATATGCTGATATGATCAGTTGACAAAACTTGTTTATGACACGAAGAAATCAAGGTATAGAACAGTGCGTGTAGCTACTCCATTGGTGTGAACATGCATGTGGATGTGGCAGCGCATTGAACGTCTCTGGAAGGACACCTGAAACTGATAACAGGGGTTGCCTCTGGGGAGGGAAAACAGATGGCTGGGAGAGAGATTTTTCACTGCCTTTTGTATCTTTCAGATTCTATGTCATTTGAATAATCTATTCAAAAAATAAATACAAGATAATTATAAAGCATTTATAATTTGGCTTCTTTAATCTTGGTAGGCTTCAGACCACCTGATTCTTAGTGACAGACAGAAAGTTGCTTTTTTTAGCAAAGCTATCATTTTTTCGTGTGTTCCTTCACATTGCTTCCTGACCTTCCACTCTTTCTTGTAGGACTTTACTGAAGGCTGCATAAAGCTGCCAACCTGCTCCAACATTCTGAATTTTTCCCTTCCATTAGAAGGGAAAATACTTTAGCAGGCAGATGGTCTGAGTCCAAAAATGTAACAGATGATAGTTTAGATATTTTGTTAACTTGCCAGACTGAGATAAAGGGGTGCTTTCACCTGACCCTGTTGGTCAAACCAAGTCTATATTTTAAAGTCTGTTACTTGTAACAATTTTTATCTGTGGCCCATCAAATTAAATAGGCATTTAAAAAATTATGACTAAAAATTCATGTATGAATAATTTTATCTATAGGACTAAACCACCTAAGATAGTTTTAAATGTGTTACTGATAGAGATTCTTAAGTCACTATTTAAAACTTTCCAGTAGGTCAATAATTATAGCTATCTTTTGTAACCCAGGTCTAAATCCAGAGTTCATACATTATATTTAGTTTTCATGTGTGTTTAGTCACCTGACCCCTTTTGTGTCATAACAATGGCATTTTAAATGAATCTGGACCAATAGTTTGTAAGATGTCCTTTAATTTAGATTTTTATGAATTTTTTTATTGTTTTTTTTTTCAGTTAAATACTCAAGCTCATGATACTGTTAAATTTAGGTTAAACATTCTTGGCAAGAATACTATATTGGTGATACTCTGCCTTCTCAAGGCACATAAAAGGAAATTCTTTCTTAACCCAGTAGACAAAAAGACTACTATGATTTGAAGGAAGGTCTAATTGACTTTTCAGTTCTCCTTGCTTCAATTTTTTGTTTTGTGGGGGTTTTCTGGGGGTTTTGTTGTTGTTGTTGTTGTATGTAGCACAGTCTCTGTCACCCTGGGTAAAGTACCATGGCATCATCATAGCTCACAGCATGTCAAACTCTTGGGCTCAAGTGATCCTTTTGCCTCAGCCTCCAAGTAGCTGGGACTACAGGTGCCCACCATAACACCTGGCTAGTTTTTCTGTTTTAGTGGAGATAGGGGTCTCACTCTTACTTGGGCTGATCTTGAACTCCTGAGCTCAAGAAATCCACCCACCTTGGCCTCCCAGAGTCCTAGGATGACAGGCCACCGCGACTGGCCTCCTTACTTTAATTTTATACTAGTGAAGTGATTTCTAATAGCTTGGGTATTTAAGATAGACTTTATATCAGTAAATAATGTTCTATCTAATCTATCAGCTGTTGTTTTAGAACAACACAAAATTTCTGTTTTAATTTATCCGTTTCTAATAATTTGGGGCTGATAAAATCAAGTTTCTGACTTGTACAGTCAGGTTGTAATTAATAGTATCTACCTCCCACAGGGTTGGGGTGAGGATTACTTGTGATATTAATAGATATAAAATATGACTGACTGTAATACACTTCGTGAAAGGACTCTATTAATGTAATTAACCCCACCCAGGTATTTAAACACACACGGATAACATTTACTATTGTACCTGTGACTGTAAGTGCTTTTTGGATGTTAATTTTTATAATAACGTTACCTTTTTATAATAACCTTTCCTTACTAGAGTTAAGGAAAATGAGGGGCCCAGAGAAGATAAGTAACTTTCCTAAGTTCACATAGTGAGTTAAATGATAACATTTCCTCATGTTTATTTATGAGACCCACCTGAAAACAAGCAACCTATATAGCGACAATCTGTATTTGAGGATGATTTTCTTTTTTCTTTCTTTTTTTTTAGAGACAGAGTCTCACTTTTTTCTTTTTTTTTTTTTTTTAGAGACAGAGTTTTACTTTGTCACCCTCAGTAGAGTGCTGTGGCATCACAGCTCACAACAACCTCCAGTTCTTGGGCTTAGGCGATTCTCTTGCCTCAGCCTCCCAAGTAGCTGGGACTACAGGCACCCACCGCAACACCCAGCTACTTTTTGTTGCAATTTGGCTGGGGCTGGGTTTGAACCCGCCACCCTCGGTGTATGGGGCCGGCGCCCTACTCACTGAGCCACAGGTGCCGCCCATTAAGGATGATTTGCATTCAGCTTCTTCTTCCTAGATAGTTGCCTCCCTTCATCAATCTCCATACTATTTTACCATACAGTGGTGGATGCTTTATTATTTATGACATTACCACAAGCCATGCGGGTGTGCAACTCTGGGTCTGTGTGTGTTGTGTATATACATACATCAGAAACCACTTAAACGGTTATCCTTACTACTTTGTTGCTTTCTCCATTTTAATATGTAAGATTCTTTTTTCTTATCCTCTTTTTGAGGTTTTTAACCTTTAGAATTAGGTAGACCCAGATTTTTTTTTTATTGACTCATAGCTGTGTACATTAATGCAATTATGGGGTACAGTGTGCTGGTATTATATACAATTTGGAATACTTTCATGAAACTGGTTAACATAGCCTTCACCGCATTTTCTTAGTTATTGTGTTAAGACATTTATATTCTACACTTAGTAGATTTAACATGTACCCTTGTAAAATGGAAGAAAAAGTATCCAGTATACTCAGCTCTACTATGAAACCAATTTGTAAACATCCACACTTCCGTATGAATGCTATAACCTATGGTGCATTTTACAAGGGTAGACCCGGATTTGAGCTGACTATGTCTCTAACCTCTGTAAGCCACAGCATTCTCATCTACAAAATAGTAATATTAACACCTACATCATGAGAATTGTGGGAGGATTAAATTAGGTAATATTACAAATTATAAAAGCTATACACAGATATCTTATATGCATTTCATACTACATTTAAGTGAATTATTATTCTTTGATATTTTCTCCATTTTAACTTAAAAGATTTGGAGTTTTATTGTTGGTAATGGTGGTGGTGGTAAGACTTGGAGCTACACAAATGCTTTTTAATTGGGCTGTAAAAGAAAGAACAGCTTTGAAGTTATGTGGAATCATATCCCAGGGCCTCAACTGGCACATTTGAAAGTGGAGATATAATGTCTGCCTTGCATCATGGCTGTGATCACCGTCATATCTCCAGTGTTCATCACCATGTCTGGCACAGAGTAAGCACCTACTAAAAATCGTTGAATAAATATTGAACGAAAAAGATGTTGAGGGGATTAAATTAGATGTAAAGGATCTAGCATACCGTCTAGTATAATAAATATTTCTAGATGTTAAATTAAATGTAAAGGAGCTAGCATACTGTCTAGTATAATAAATAAATAGAAAAATTACATTTCTATTTATAGCAATAATTTCTAAATTTCTAAATTGCTATTATAGCAATAATTTCTATATTTCTTCAGGTTGTATTAATTAACATGATCATAAAAATATGATATTTCTTCTAATATTTAAGATGAAGATATTAATGCCATAATCTTCCCAACACGCCAGAAACTTGATGTTTAGAAATAGAAAAATACCAAATGATATTATTAAATAATTTTGAAAATGAACCTTTAATATACATAAATGTTATTTCTGTTACAGAGAGCAGAGGTAATCCCTTATAGGGACTTATAAAGGCTAGAGCATCTGGAGATTTACTGCCTCCATTGCACTGCTGGATCTCACACAACATTTGTTATGTTTTCATCACTTCTCTCCAGAAGGTAGGAATTATATTTTCTCTCCATAGGTTCTTCATACAATTATAGATTTCTTATCTGTGGACCTAAATTTATTAAGTAGGGAAAACATTTGACATCTATAGATTAAAACGCCAGATGTCTCCAACAGTTAAGATACTTAAATACATTAACTCTAAAAAAATTTCTAGTATAAAATTTGATATATGTTACTGTTAAAAAAGATAATACAGAAAATCTTAGTAATCTTAACCCCTTGAGGTAACTATGTCTTTCGTGGTATCTGTTTCAGAACTTATATATGAGTATTATATATTATATATACGGTTTATCTAATTATAATAATTATGACTAGAAACCATAGGATATAAAAGCTCTTTGGCTACCCTGCTTATATGATGTAGCAATTTGTTGTAGCATTTTTTATTTCAGTAAATATCCACATCACTATTTTTAATAGCCATATACTATTCCAGTATAAGGATGTAACATAAATCATGTAACCATTTTCCTATTATGAAATATTTACAATGTTTCTAGTTTTCCCTATGGAAAACACAGCTTCAGTGAACATCCTCATATATACATATATGTATGCATATCTGATAATTTTTTAAAGTAAATGTTGCAGAACCTTAGTTCCTAACATTGTCTCTGATAAAAGGGTTCCATGACATATAACAGAAAGAAAGACTGTTATTCACCATCTTAGGGAGGTATGTTCAGTATTACCATGTACCAAAATCTTAGGACTCCAACTTATTAGACCTTAGAATCCTTTCTTAAAATAGCATCTGTTCACAGGTTGTTGATAATGATAGAGGCAATGTAGAAGCAAAGGGTATATGGAAATCACTTTCTATTCAATTTTGCCATGAACCTAAAACTGTTTTTTGAGAAAGCAATGAAAATATTTTAAAAAGAGGAAAAAATATATTAAGTGCCATTTTGTAAACTTACATTTAAAATTAAATTTAGACTTACACATATACAAATGCATAAATAACATCTATTGGCATCCCACTGAACACTTCTGAAAAGGCTAACTTACAGTATATATATTTTTAGATTTTTAATTTTACATGGGTCTTAGTAGTATATATTTATAGGCTACATGTCATGTTTTCATAGAGGCATATGATACAAATTAATCAAATCAGAGTAATTAGAGTATCTATCACCTCAAATATTACAATTTCATTATGTTAGGAATATTGCAATTCCACATTTTTAGTTATCCCGGACTTATTGTTGATTCTAATAGTCATTTTTTTGTACTATGAGATATTGTTCATTCTATCTAACTATATGTTTCCATGCATTAGCTATTCCCACTTTATCCTTCCCTCCTTGCTACCCTTCCCAGCCTCTGGTAACCATCATTCTACTCTCTGTTAAAGTATATTGTTAAAGGTGGAATTGGTAGACAAGAAGGTAAAGTGAAAAACTCTGCTATCATGCTCACCAGCATTATATGCAAAACTGACACTTTCTCTATAGTTTTGTCAGTATTTGGTATTAATTGTTTTGCTTTTACATAAATCTGGTATGAGAAAAGTACATGGCATTTTAATTTTTATATATATGATTACTAATGAGATGAATGTTTTACATTTTTATCTGAATGTTATGAATAGCCCATCATGAGCAATGTCAAATTTTTCTTGAGGTGTCTGATTATGATTTTTTTTGATAGATAAGAATCAGGAATCATATTAAGATATTAAGTCTGTAAATCCTATACATCAATTATGTCTTCCTATTTTTTATATTTTGTTTTGATGTTTTTTATTATGTGTGCTTTATTTTTGTTTAGTATTTTTATGAGATTAAATCTATCATTTTTTTTTCATGGCTTCTGGCTTTGGTGTCTCTCTGTACCTTGGCTTTATTTTTAAGTGTTTGTTATGGAAAGTTTCAAACATAGAGGAGTTGGCAGAATAGTAAAACGAACCCCCAGGTACCTCAGTCTGGCTTCAATAATTAAGAACTCATGGCTAATCTTGTTTCATTTATACCACCTGCGTTATTCTGTAGCCGATCTCAGACATATATTATTTCATCTGTTAATATTTCAGAATGTACACTGGCTTTAGATATAAACGAACCAGACGGTTACTGGAAGAACAGGGAGGAGATTGCAACAGTCAATCCTAGTCATAAAACAAGAGTGGAAAATTTCAGCAGGACAGATGGCAAGAAATAATATATTATACATACTATGTAAGAAAAATTAAGTCTATTAAAGAAATTTGCAGCATAATTTGACTCAAGCATTCCCTCTCATTTTCAAGAATGATTCCATCCCTAATTCATTTTTACACTTACAAAAATTATTTTGGCTTTTCAAATAAAGCTCACTTATGAAAACTTTGTTGCAAAATCCTAAGTTCGCTGAACTCTTCTCCATTATCACTGCTGTTCATATTCCCGTTAAGGACTTCATATATCCAATTGTATATATGTCTTTTACAATGTAGTCCTTAGGCATTTTTGTTATTAGAATATCTTTTTATAAATGGGTAAAGAAAGCCAACACTCAGAACAGATGCACTGTTATTCTAGATTTTAATCTTACTGCAGCTGGTATGTAAAGGTGCACATGAATTAAACAAAAAATCAAGTCATGAAGACGGAGGAAAGAATGTTCAAAAAACGAATTTACAAGTTGGATTCTAAATAGCAATCACAATTTTAGCTTGAGGCTTTTCTGGGATACTGTGAATAATGATTAGGTGAGATTATAGGCCCCAGGCAAAGCCTCAGGATATTAGTGCTTCTGGCCAGTCATTTATCCTCAAAAAATGATCCTTAGGTTATGGGGTATTGTTTGAAATGCCATGGGGAATTAAACCTAACACTATCAATTTATCCCAAGGGGCATTTCAAGAGTCTGAAGCTTTAGTGGTAAGATAAATGTTTACCTAAATAAGAAACCTCAGTAAATTTTTCATTTACTATTACTTTATGTTATTTTTACTTTTTCGAGTATATATTTTTATTTGCATGCAGATGGAATTAAAAATTCTAGCCCCAAGAAAGTAATCACTATTGAAAATTGTATTCTACTGTGTTGATCATCTATGTATTCAAGGGAGGTAAGGTAAAATTTTTTTAAAAAATCAAATAAATTTTATCTGGCATTTTTATTGGATTTTCATAGGAAATTTATAATTAAGAGAATTCTGATTTACTATCTCTTGACAAAAATTTTCTTCTAGCTGTATCTCATCATGTAAAACTATGAACCAGATAGTGTGGATATTTTAAAAGCCCTAAAGTATTGAATTCATGGTTAATCATGTATTTTTATTTACCAAAACCTTGGTTCCCTTCTGTCTTTATAGCTATTTTCTTCTCTAAGGCTTACATGAAAACTGCGACTTAAGTTGTGTGAATGATCCCCTCCTTTTCTAAAAATCTATTTACATGATATGTAGAGAAAAGAAGGAAATTAACAAACCAAAACACTTATTTAACCAACCTAATTTATGGAATAATAATGATGATAAAAGTAATAAAAAGAGTAGTAGTAGTAATCATCTGATAATATGTAGAAGGATTTAAATAATGTCTACTACCAAAATATGTCAGTACTATTCTAACTCGTAACTTCATTATTATCCCTACTTCGTAGAGGAGGAACTAAGTCAATAAGAAACTAAATTGATTAAATGATAATTGGTAAATCCAGTTTCTGAAAATTAGACCCAAATGTACCCTACTTATAAAAACTTAGAAGGTATGGTAGTGCTTTTTATCTGCTAAGACAATTATTCTTAACCCTTTGAAATCTCTTCTCCTATTTTCCTTTTCAAAACATAAAATCTCATTTTTTTATATCTATTTAATTTTTTTAGAATAAATCAAATGTAATGACTAAATTAAATCACAGCAATGGTACAAAGCACTGATGATTTTTAAACTACCCCTCTTTCTTCCTGTTCTTGGTTGAGCCTCACTAGTTTGAGGTGATGTAAGTTCAATTCATTCAGCAAGTAATTACTGAGGGCCTACTTTGTGTCAAACATTATTCTGGGGGGGCAGGTGTTATGTAAATTGAAAGGAAACTAGTTCTGAACTGGGAGCAATTCAAAAAACTGTGCAACTTTCTGGTAACTTATAAAGTCTTCCCAGAACTTCAAATGCAAGTTCAAATGCATAAACAAAAACCCATTACAGAGCCAGGTGGATATTGCTCTTGATGTTGGAATGTCTATATCAGTATCCCCTTCTGCTAGTGCAAATGAAGATGGATGAATCTATTTAGATTTAAATTCTTATTAGGATAATTTCTCACTGTCATATTAGCTATCAGTATGTTTAGATTCACAAGACTATTCAAAAATTTCTTAATTCTTCTGAAGCACCAAGCCTGTAATTAACGCAGCATCCATTTATTCTACGTACTTTGTTGAATGCCCACTATGGAAGAAAATCAACCATATAACCATTTCTTTGAAAATGCTGGGCATTAGAAGCCTTGGATACTGTATTCTGATTTGGAGGAGAGCAGAATAATGTATAGGACTTTAATAGGAGAGTTCAGCCAAAGTTCAGCTAGTTTTGGAAAGAATTGGCCAGGGATGGTTCTTGCAAGAGGGAATGATTGTACTTGCATATTTGTGGCCACTGTTTGGGCAATCTGGATTTTATTTAGAGGGGAGGAAGGGAACAAATAGGTGCTAAAGTCGTGTGTAAGAAGGGATGGCGAGGAACAAGCACTGGAGATAAGGCTATGGGAAAGTCATAGTGGAAAATTCTCAGTCCTTCGGGGTCTCACTTGCATGGTGCGGAGTGATAGGAAAGCATGTAACAGGGGACCTGCATAGTCTGTGAGAATCAGGCAAAGCCTCCTTGAAGAGGGGAAAATTGGAAACCTGACAAGTACATAGGATTTCGTTAGGTAGAGTGGCAGGGGAGAGTAGTATAAGCAAGGGCTACGGTATGATTATTACGGGCCTTGGATACCTCTGCCTTCATCAGCCCCTTTCAACATGTAAAAAATTAATGGTTGGTGCCTG